AGGAGGAGGAGGAGGGGGAGGAGGAGGAGGAGGAGGAGGAGGAGGAAGAGGAGGAGGAGGAGAAGGAAAGGACAAGGCCGAGGACGAAGACGAGGACGAGGAGGTGGAGGAGGAGGACGAGGACAAGGAGCAGGAGGAGGAGATGGAGGGGGGGGAGGAGGGAAGAGGAGGAGGAGGAGGAGGGAGGAGGGAGGAGAGTCGAGGGACGAGGGCAGAGGGAGGAGGGAGGAGGAGGAGGAGGAGGAGGAGAGAAGGACAAGGCCGAGGAGAAGACGAGGACGAGGGGGAGGAGGAGGACGAGGACGAGGAGCAGGAGGAGGAGATGGAGGGAGGGGGGAGGAGGGAAGAGGAGGAGGAGGAGGAGGAGGGAGAAGGGACGGGGGACGAGGGCAGAGGGATGAGGGAGGAGGAGGAGGAGGAAGAGGTACATGAGGAGGAGGTGGAGGAGGAGGAGGAGGGGGGGGGGGGGGAGAAAAGGAGGAGGAGGTGGAGTAGTAGTAGGAGGAGGAGGCGGAGGAGGAGGAGGAAGATGGGGCGGAGGGGGAGGGGGAGGGGGACAGGGACGAGGAGGAGGAGGAGGAGGAGGAGGAGGAGGAGGAGGAAGAAGAACAAGTGGAGGGGAATCAGGAAGGAGAGGAGGTGCCGACGGCACCGTACCGTGCCTTGGGGAGCGGTAGGCGCACCTTGCCGTGCCTTGGGGATCGGGACGCGCATGGGCACAGGGGCGGCGTCCTCCGGAAGGAGTTTGCTGGAGGCGCGCGGGGCACGATGGCATTCTACCGTGGCGCTTCGCGGCATGCGCGTTTATTGTCTCCTTCCCCATTCCCATTTTTGCGGTGAACACTCTGGTGCGCACGTGCGCTGCAGCGACGATTTGCACAACGGGGAGGAGGAGGAGGAGGAGGAGGAGGAGGAAGAGAGGCAAGAGGAGATAGGAGGGATGACAACCGCATTCTATTCCCAGCACCAACCTTGCATTGCGTTTAGGTGTCCGCGGCAAATCCTCACTTACATGCTCCTTCCACCACGGCGCTGTGTCGCGCGCGGTGGAAGCACCACGGCGCTGTGTCGCACGCGAACGCTGTGGTGTACACAGGCGCCGTGGTGTACACAGACGCTGCGGTGCGCGCAGGCAGCGTGGTGTACACTGGTGCTGTGTTGCACACGTCTGCTGCGGCGAACATGTTTGCTGTGGTGTGCACACGCGCTGTGGTGCACGCGACAACTGCGCTGTTCACAAGAGTTGCGTTGCACACGGCGATTGCGGTCCCCCTGATTGCATTCGGCCTCTTCCTCGCGGTCCCCGTGGGCGTCCGCGTGGAGTGGGGCGGGCGGTCCCCCTGTGAGGGTGCTGAGTAAGTGCCTGTGGAGGCCGCCCAAGCAAGGCAATAATTAAACAAAAAGGCGGTTGCGGCGCACACATGCGTTGTGGTGTGCACGCGCGCCGCGGTGCACGCGAGCAGTGTGGTGTACACAGGCGCTGTGGTGCACATCGCCACCGACGTGCTGTTCCCACCCGCTCTCGGTCATTCCTAGGCACTTCCGGACGCCTCCGGCGCGGAACGTGACGTCACCTTCGTCGGGGGCGGCAAAGAGGGGGGTGATGACTAGGGGGGGTGGATATCATGGCGGGGGCCATGATGTTTCTCCAGATTTCATGACGCCCCTTCTTATTTCGTTACGTTCCTGGCCCCCCCCCGCTGGGCCGCGCACATGCCGCTGGTCATGATTTGCACCCCCCCCTCTTGGACACCCCCCTCCTGGCCGCTTCCGACTGGGGGGGGGGGTGCGCGGGGCCGGTGGCGGCCGCCATCGCGGAGATTGGAAAAAAATACAGCGCCTCATTCGTTTGGATTCGCTCGGACGTGTGCATTTTTCCTTCGTCGCGGACCATCGAGGAGTATTCTTGATCATTTGGCGAAAAAACCACGCACGAAACCGAAAAAAACACAGGGTATGGACGTCCGAGCGATGGCCAGTTCGAGCCATCCGGAGCAGTAAGAGCGTGCGGCGGTGCTGCTGTCGACCGCCGGCGAGGCCCGTCGGAGGCAGCCCGTGGGGGGCCTCGGTCCCTCGATCTTTTGGTCCTCCCGCCCACGACCTCCCCTGGGCTTCCGCGTCGGTCGTTGAGAGTAGGTATTTGTGGAGCCCCAGATTCCAACCCACTTTCAGCGCTCTCCTATTTTCGGGGGTGGACAGACCTCATGCCCTGACACGTCGATGAGTGAATCGGCCGTTTTTGATTCGCGGGAGGGCGGCGCGGCCGTCATTTTGGCGGGTCCGGGTCCGTCGGTGTCGGTCCCAGGTCGCTTTCACTAAAGGGAGGTTTACTAAAGGGAGGTTTGTCCACCGCAGATATTTCAATGATCGGGTGGCTTCACCTTTTCGGCCCTCATTAGGAGGCGGGCGGACACCCAATCTTTTTTTCAACGCCTTCCTCCTTCATGTTTCTACCCACTTCTTCCGCCCGCTGGGTACGCTCGGACAGAGGTATATGGTCGACGTCGGTTCGAGGAGGGTACCCCAATGCTCGTCGTGTTTGTTGGATGTTCTTTTGCATCCTCAGGGAGGGTACCCTGCAGGATTGTTCTGTTGTGCCGGCGGAGGCCTCAGGTTCTTGAGTGATGTTGTTCTGTCCCCTTCCCGACTGAAGGAAACAATTTCTGGGAGTGATGTGTTTCTATCCCCTCCTTCTCTCCCCGACTGTATATCCGCGGTCGAAGGCAGGCTGGATGCGGCACAATCCCGTGCAATTCCGCTCCAAGCAATTGAATCCAGCTTACTCCGTCTTGATCACTCTGGGCCAATTTGGCTCAATGCCCCCTCGACCTGTAGTAATATCCTCTATTCGTTTTGACGAAGATTTCCCAGGAGTTGCCTCCTAGCAATGGCCCTGCTGCTCCGGTGATCGAAGTCTCATCCATGCCTCTGGTGCTGCCCCTAGCCTTCGACGCCAAGAAGGTTGGCAGCTTAGCTTCGGGAGGACATAAAGGCGATCCATGCCTCCTACTCTGTGTCTCCTGGAGGCTTGGGGCGGGAGCAGGGGCATGGATAAACGGAGTATGATCCCCAACGTCGTGATTTCTATCGCTCCGCGGGGTCCATATCCGAACCATGTACAGTCCAGTCGTCGTGGGAACTCCTGGGAGCCTTTGGGGGGCATCTTGGAGGTTTCTTGGGGGCCCCTTGGGGCCTCGTGGGGTCTTTCAGGGGCCTCTAGTGGGCGTCTTGGGCCTTCTTGGGGCGCGCTTGCGCCGTCTGGCCCCTTCGGATGCCGTCTTTGGGGCCTCTCGGGGCCTTCTTGGGTCTCTTTCGAGGTCATCCTAGGGTGGACGTTCAATTCGTCCGTTTTCATTTCGTCATCGTTCGTTTGCTCCTCGTTTATTGCGTCTTCGTCCGTTTCGCCCTCTTTCGTTTCGGCCTCGTTCGTCTCGTCATCTCCCGTTTCGCTCTCTTTCGAATCGTCCGTTGTTCCAATTGTCCGTCCGTTGTTTGTTTCGCCTTCTTTCGTTTCGTCCTCTGTCATGTCGTCCGCCGTTCGGTTCGTCCTCTTTCGTTTCGTCCGCTTTCGCTTCGTCCGTTTTGGTTCCTTGTTGACGTTCTGGTTGATCGTATTGCTGTGTGGTGGGCGATTTGACACGGGACGAATTGACACCCGGTGAGTTGACAGCGGGCGAATTGACACCAGACGAATGGACATTGTACGAATTGACTTCAGACGAATTAACACCAGCCGATTTGACACCAGACAAGTTGACACTGGGCGAATTCACACTTGACGAAGTGACATAGGACGCATTGGCACCGGACGATTTGACACGGGACGAAGTGACATTGGACATATTGGCACCGGACGAGTTGCTACCGGATTGATTGGCATTTCGGTTCGTGTTGTGCTAGCACTCCCCTGTTGCGCCTCCGTCTCTGTTTGGGGCACGCGCGGTCGTGGCGGATTGTGGCGCGCATGCAACCGTTTGCGCGCCTTTGATGGTCCACGCGCCGTTGACCGCCACGCGTGGACATTAATCTTTGGATGGCAGTGCTGATGTCTGTGTTGTGGTTGTCCTCCTCTCCCCCCATTTGACGAAGTGACCATGTGCCCCCAGAGGTGTCTGTCTGTCTCCTTCCTTTTCCTGCTGCTTTTCCTCCTGCTTTTTCTCCTGCTTCGCGTTCGAAGGATGCCATTTGCAGGGGCAACTGGTGTCGCCCCGGCTTGCTCTGGGAAAATGCACTGGGCC